TATATATATATATATATATATATATATATATATATATATATATGTATATCTTTTAGAAAGAAAAGAAGATCGAGGCGGGAAGAGCGTTTCGGCGGAGCCGCGGAGGTGTCGAGCATCAGTTTATCGTGCGGATTCCTTCGGGAGATCACGAGGAGGGCCTGGCCCAACGATGATATGGTTGCCTCTCGTGGTCGCCGATGCGGCGAGCTCGGCCTTAGCTGTTCATGATCGTCGATCTCCTGGAGTAACCTCGCCTCGTCACCATCTCGCCCTGCGCTTCGCACTCCCTTTTTACCCGGTCAATTATATCCGCCACTAGCTTCTCCTCTTTCTCTCTCTGCTGCTCCCAGTCTGGACCCTTGCCGATCTGAAACAACGCATTGCCTTGTTAGAGAAAAGGAATCAAGTCGTTCAATGATTTCTAGAGAAACTCGATGATGATAGAAAATGAAATTATTCATATGTCAACGGTATTTCAACTAAATATATCAATTTCTAGAAAAAATATAGTAGAACTAAATGTATCAATTTCTAGTAAAACAAAATCTGGTCATAGGATAGAATCTTTTTATGCAAATGACATATAAATTAAAAACCAGGCTACTTTTAAGAGTAAAAAAGCAAGCTAATCGAATATCAATTTAATAACGAGTACTCAATGAATGAAAATTTTGATGAAGTAAATGTACCATCAATGTTTGTCTGAATATCTGTTTTCATTTTAATTTTCACTTTTCGTTCGCAGAATCTTCTAATTGTCTCATTTTTTTTAGGTAGCTTCAGTGAATTTACTTACGTCGGAGGTCTTGCGAGGCTTCTTGTTGGAGGGCTCCTCGCGGTTCTCATCGTTCTCGTTGTCGGAGTGCCGGGAGCTCAGGTGTCCGATGTAGCCCTTCCGCGACTTGAAGTACGCGTTACAGCTATGGCACTTGAACAGCGGCGCCGGCTGGGCAACCTGGGTGGATACGTGCAGCTTGTATTTGTGCCTGTACCAACGGGTTCGCGACGGTAGCACCTCGCCGCACCACTTGCAGACTACGGAACCGTCGTTTTGAATGAAGTATTCCAGCAGCTTGGAAAATAACGTTTATTGGTGTTTTTTTCTTATTTCCCAATCTTTCTCTTCCGCCTCACTTGTTATTTTTTACTAAACGAAACGTCTCGTGAGCGATAGAGAGACTCCGGTTGGAGCACTCTCTGAATTTCTTGGAGTGAAATCTCACTCCAACTACAAACTTAAATTTGAGTATCTCACGATACGAGTTTCAGATAACGATTATTAGCTCTGCATGTACAATGTTGAGTCTGTGAGACTCGAACAAATATTTGATCGAGCAAACAAACTTCTGCAAAGACTTCAAAAGATTTCAAAATACGCCAAATCTGTTTAATTTTATTGCATTATTGCCTTATAGAGCTGAGACTCTATATCTTTGGATCTATATACCTTTATATCCTTTCTATATTTTTGGAAAAAAGTATCGAAAAATACTGATTTTTAATTAAGTTATGATAAGTCAAAGTTGCCTGACAAGCTCAGACTGTAAACTATATCCCAAAAAATATAATTACACGGAAGGAGCAGACGATTAAAATGAGATTGTTCCAGTGACGGTGAACATCAAATTTAAGTTTTAATTTCAAGTGAAGATATCCATTTGACAATTCCAAATGGAAGAATTCACTCTATTCGAGTGGAAAATCATTGGACTTCAAGTGACTCGGTTGTCACTATCATTCAAGTGAAATTCCACTCGAAAGAAATTCAGAGATATAATAAGAACCAGCTGAATTCTCGAATTCGATCTAGATAATTCGCTACGCCGAAATCATCACGTGGGATGATTCAGGAGTTAATCACGATTTTTAATTACTCATCAAACCCTTTTAAGGATTTAAAAGTTATGTCGGAACCAACCTGCTTCCTGACCTCCGGCTCGTTCTCACCGACTTCAGTCTTGGGTAAGAGAAGGTGCTCGGCTCTGTCTTCTTCGCGATCCGTCAGGAAGTGCACGCCGCTGACCACCCTCTCGGTCTTGATGAAGGCGCCGCTGTCATCGGCGCCAAAGGTGTCCTCGGCAACGCTGTGCGTCACCGAGGAAGATATCGACGAGGATATCGACGTGACCGGTGCTGGCGACGACGGCGACGACGAGGTGCAGATCTCGAAGGTGATGCCGCTCGGCAGGTTCGGCAGCTGATCTGCCGATCGCATATGCAACGAGAAAAAAGTAGGGACGTTCGTTAGACCGCGCTGTGTCATGATCAATCGTTACTACGAAGAACAGGTCGTTTCGACGGGAAATGACAAGTGGACAATGATGTTTGGATAATACGCGGAGGTCTTGGAAACTGACAGGAAATACTTTCCTCTGCACTAAGTGAAAAAAAAATAGCTAATCTCCATTAAGGCGACTGGAGGGTCAGATTGCCTGAAAATTGCTTATTTTTTCACAATTTTTTATGACAAACTGAATGAATATGCAAAAGTGTTATTTTGACAAGTATTTATACAACATATAAAGAGAAGAAAAATATAATTTTGATGATCAAACACTCAATATAAGAATATGATACATGCAGTTAAATATATATCGTTTTTCTTTTCAAGGTCGTCATTTTGCAGTAATATCTTGACTCTCGGTGGTTCAATTAAGCTGAATTTTAGGTAGAAAATTTCTGTAAGCTTGTCATTATCGTGTGAACCACCGAGAGTCAAGATATTACTGCAAAATGACGACCTTGAAAAGAAAAACGATATATATTTAACTGCATGTATCATATTCTTATATTGAGTGTTTGATCATCAAAATTATATTTTTCTTCTCTTTATATGTTGTATAAATACTTGTCAAAATAACACTTTCGCATATTCATTCAGTTTGTCATAAAAAATTATGAAAGAACAAGCACGATTTTCAGGCAATCTGACTCTCCTGTCCCCTTAAGTTATAGTCATTCCCGATATTAAAGCTCCCGACCCCTCGCATTGTCTATTTCTTTGTAATGACGTCAGAAGCAAGAAAATGCATGTTAAAAATTCTTGCGAAATACATTGAAATAAAAAGATATATCCATGAAGTAACATTTGCAATCGATTAAACAAATTTGTAAGATATTCCGTGCACTCCTCTTTTGCTCTAACAATCAATAATTTATTGTAAGTTAACCTAAATAGAAATAGGCGAAGAAATAGATTAAGAAGATGAATTATATGTTATGTTAATTTATGACAAATTATTGATTGTTAGAGCAAAAAGGGAATGCACGGAATATCTTACAAATTTGTTTACTCCATTGTGTTACTTTATGGATATGTATTTTTATTTCAACGTATTTCGCAAGAATTTTTAGCATGCATTTTCTCGCTTCTGACGTCATTAAAAAAGAAGAGATAAACAATGCGAGAGGCCAGGAGCTTTAAGGTACTGTTTGCTTGCTCTATCAAGAGTAGCAATATATGTACTACAAACTTATCGCGTTATTAATCCATCATGTTAGCACTTACTACTACAATAATTTTTTTGACTATAATTATGTCATTGTACAATTATAGTTGTAAATACCAAACACCTCGTTCTTAATACTGCAAATATTCTCTCAGTCCGGTCGACTCGATATCGATGTTCAACATTTCTGGCTGTTCAGCAAATTATCGTTCAATCAAAATTTGTGATATCACTTGAGCGATATACCGGCGAATCAAGCGATTGCCGTATTTCAGGCGTCATCGCGCAGCCAATCAACTGAAAATGCGGATTCTTCTTAGCTCTGGTAGTTCAGGTCTATCAAAGCCAGTGCTTAGTCAGGCTTTAGACGTCCCCAATTTCCAACGTTGAGTAAATATACACATATACATACTAATATATACATGTGGATTATATTATTTATATTCACAGTGGAGGATGATAGAAGAGACAGACTCGCTATACTATTGCAATGTATATCACAAAGAGTTACAAAGAAACTACAATTAGATAAAAACAAATAAAAATAATAATAATCATCGGATTATTAAATTGTGTGTTATCGTCTCCTTTGCCACCAGGCACCAGAAATTATATAGGTACACCCGTACAGTTACATTAATCGCGGGACAGAGCGATATGTCCGATATGCGACAACGATGCGTGTGCGAACGTGCAGCTTGCTTCTCCTTTATTGTTCTTCAATGCATATGTATATATATGTATATGCGATGACAGATACATATATATAGATATTTATATATACATATAAACGTACAAACGCGCCACGGAGGGTGCTTTCCGGACGCCCAATATAATATAACGTAATATAATATATTTCCATATATAATATATATATATATATATAATATAATAGATTTTTTTTCTCTCATTCGCGCAACGTGTGTGCTCGTGTATACCCATTCTGAAGACCCGCGCAATCACACTCCCCCTCCCCCTATTGCAAACACGATTGCTAAATCAGGAATGATCGATTTAGCGACTAAAATGATATGTCGGTGATGCTCGAAATTTTCAAAACAGATCGCGAAAGTATATTTTTTTCCTTTTTCTTAAGAAATAATATTAGTATTATTGTCGCTATTATCGAACTGTATTTTTATCTGCGCGCCTTGTCCTCTCGAGGCTGATTGATTTGCATAATTAAGCGATCGGTCGAACGCGATTTCGATATGTGGAAATTTGTATGACAATAAATCATGACGAATTGACTACTTGCCGCTGAACAATTTCGAAAAGATGGAAGAGGGACGACATAATTACCGTTTACACATTCTCTCTTTCTTACTCTCATTCTCACACTCGCTCTTTCTCTCTCTATACATATATATATAATATATGTACCGTTTAACGCTTAAATAAAATATCTGCATTGTGAATAGAATAATAATATAATAATAATAATAACCGCATTTTGCTATTTCACGCTTCATCCACTGCGCCTCCTTTAAAGCCTAAACGCACCTTGCGCGCTACTAGTGTGTTTGTGTATATATATAAATATATATATATATATATATATATATATACCCGCTATTACAGATAAAATTGGAAAATCAAATAATGAACGTTAACTTGAACCATGTCACAAAAAAAAAAAAAAAAA